AAATTTTAAATAAATCTATAGCATTCATAATTTTTCATGAGTGTAAGTTTTCTCGCTTAAATTACTAGTAATACAATTTCTACTTGAAAGAAAATTAGCTGCTTCTGTCTATCAATTGATAACAAAGTTATCACATGCTTTCATTTTTACGTATTAGAATTTATTGTAACAAATTTCATTATATGTGCGAAATGTTTGTTTGTTTTAATTGCTTCAATTATATTTGCATGAGAATTAACACTAGAGTAAGCGGGCATTTTACTTGACCTTTGTATTTAGCAATTGATTCATGTATAATGATGTGAGATAAGAAATTAATAAAAAAAAATTAAACAGTTTGTCAAATTTTAGGAAGTACATATTTACAAAAATTGGAAATTAACCTACTATTGAACTAATTATGTACCCATCATTTAAACCTAACGGACATTTAAAAATACATATAATGAAACTTAGATATGTATATATTTCTATCAACGTAGTTTAATTTTTATTATCTTGTTTTGAAAAATGTGCATAAAGTGATTAACTGGTTGTTATATACTTTTTATAAATGTTTATAGTCTTATGACTGAATTTTTATACCCTGCATCACTATAGTGGGGTGGTTATTAGCGTTTGTGATGGACCTATTCTGAGCCGATTTGCACGAACACGTGCAAAGATGAATACTATTGAAAATGGTTAAAATTGGTTCATTATTTCACTCTGGTCCACATATGAAGCCTGTTTCAGAAAATGTGTTTTTCGTTAATATATGCCTTAAATATCTATATCGGCACCAAGGTATAATTCAAAATAAATTCTTAATTTTGAAAAATAAATCATATTTAATATCCGTGGCGTATGCTTCGGCACAGTGAAATAACTCCCCATATAGAAAATGAAATAGCTCCATTTCCTCCAAAAATTAGCTTTAAAAATAAAATAACTCCTTAAGTGTAAAATGAAATAATTCCCAACAATTGGGAGTTTGGGCCTTCTAAAAATTTAATCCCAAAAATAGCTCCCAATGAAACAAAATAGCTCCGAATGAAACAAAGCCCAAAATATATGAAATAATTCAAAAGCCGAAGAATTTATTTGTGTAAAATAACTTCCAATGAAATAATTCCTACTGAAGTGAAAAAACTCCCAACTCCTTAAGAAAGTGTGGTGGACAGCCGGCCTTCGGCCGGGCGCAAGGGTTTTAAACTCTGGAGTATTTCGAAAACCGGCTTCGCTAAATTAAGCCTTTTTTTCATAAATGGACTATTTGTATTCCATGTAACTTATATCACTATGCTCATGGACATTAGTGGCCATAGAATTATGATACATTAAAAAGTATCACAATGTTCATAATCATAATGACATAAAATACATGATGTGCAAAGACAGGTTAAAATGAGCGAAGCCGGTGTTGGAAATACCCCAGAGTTTAAAATCCTTGCTGGCGGCCGAAGGCCGGTTGTCCAAGACACTTATTTAAGAAAATCCAAACCGCATTATTCACCAAACTTAGAAAAATGAAATTAATCACAATAAGAATGAAATAACTCCAAACAAGAATTAAATAACTTCCAATTTCAACAAAATGTGCAAAAATGAAATTACTCCCAATACCTATGAAATAACTCCTAATTTTTCAACCAATTGAAATAATTCCCAACTAAAAATTTTATTGGGAGTTGTTTCATAAAAAATAAAATAAATTCCAATAAATTGGGAGTAATTTCATATGAAATAAGTCCCTATTCGTATGGAAAATGTTTTGAGTGTTATTTCATTTTACCCGTTGGAAGATATTTCGTTTGGGAGTTATTTCACTGTACCATAGGCTTCGCCACTCCCGACTACACTTTCTTATTTCTTTTAAAATAATTTTTTTCTAAAATCAAGTGTAATGATTATCCCATAAGGTGTATAATTGAATATGTTTGTAAATATTATGTTAATTCCGAATGAAAATTATTAAAAGTGGTTTCGCTTTACTTTTGCTGAAGAAACAAAATATATATAATATCTATAAATAGTTCGACTTCCAATCGGAATGGAATTCTTTATCAGGACTGATTCATAAATTAATGATATTGTTTACAATAATTGATCCGTTCAAGTATCAAAAACAGACAAGATTTCGTGTATAATTTAGAGCCGAGGACACCTAACATTTGTAACGCTTTCTTTGCTGATTTTGAGTTTATACTACATAGTGCTCAAATCAGAAAAATTGGATATTTGCAGAATGATGCAATTTTTAACTATAAAAACTAAATTTTGATTTATTTATTAAGTATAGACAAGGGTAAAGAGCAAATAAAGAGAAAAAAATTAAAAGAAATACCTATTCAATTACATACAAAAAGTGTTCATTAACATATTAATAAAAAGTTAATAAAAAATAATTTTAATATTCTAAACATTATGTTTTAAAAGTTCTAAATTTAGATTTCGTTAATACCTATACAAAAAAAATTAAAGATACAGCAACAAAATCAATAAATAACAAGTTTATTTTGTTCAGTGTGATCAAAGTTCAATGCTCGCTCTATTATTCACAGCAATAACAACAAAACTCTTCGAATCTCATGCCGAAAAGAACCTTAAATCAACTCTGATATTAATAACTTACTTAATATTACAACCAAGTAAACAACATAATTATCATTAATAACATCATTAGCAATTATCAAAATACAGTAAACAATCAAGTGCCGGTAATCAAATTGTTTTCTTTTGTAAAATGAATGCAGAATTTTTAAAACAAGTGTTGCTAAGAGTTAAATTTAAAGAAATTCGCCATTATAAATATATGTATAATTAAATAAAATCACTTTCGTTTAATTAGATATTTTAAAAATACTATATTTTGGCAACCGAAAGAATCCAAACAAATAAATGACTGCATTAAAAATAACAAAAACAAAATTTATACATAACAAAATAAATGCTGATAAAGTTCCAATGATTAAACGCAATATAGGAATTTTGTCATGTTGTTGTTTCGGGAATTTTGCAAGGGGTCTTACCTATAACAACATGATTTATTATTTTATTTATTTGCTGCTATTATCATTTTTTTATTATTCTCCAGACGCGATATTTATAAAACGCATAACCAACATTAATCCTAATCAGATAACAAAATCTTAAGGCTCTAAATTCTAAAACTCAAAACTTGCACCGCCACCCCCAATATATAAACAGCAGTAGCCTATAAAGATGTAAAAGAAGCAGAAACAAAACGAAAAGTCTATTGTCTTTGCATTAATGGACGACCGAATATTTGGTTAGGTAACAGTCATTTGAGGTTAGAATCGTTTTTATGCAAACACAAATTTTCCTTTTGGCCATTTTATTGCACAACCGGACTGAAATTGTTTTCCAAAAATCAAAATATTTTCTTTTGGTCATTTGTTGTCAATATTAACTTTATGTTATTTATTAAACCAAATATAGATTTATGACAAAAATACCAACAAATTAAAAAAAAATTGCACATAATTATCACGGCACACACTTTGGATAAAACAAAAATTTGCTAATTTTATCAATGCGTTTTTATTTAAACACATTCCACATGAGAAAAGGCCAACTTACCTGCGATTGTAATAATCTGATAGTGGCCATTATGTTCCAAAACACTTGTTTAAAAATTCCTCTAAATTTATTATTTCTTTATATAAACCGACTTGGTGCACAAACGAATCTTCAGCCTTCTCAGCTGGAAGATTTCAATTCTGACTGACGACTAACGGGAAGAGAATCTGTTCTCAATGAAAAATTATTTTGTGACACTTGATTTTTTTTCATTTTTTCATTTATTTGACATTTGTTTTGTTTAATTTTCGTATGCGAGCAAAATAACAGAGCAAAGTGTTACCAGATCAATTAATTTTATAATACAGTGGAATGTTCGAGCAACGTGGTTTTGCGGTTAAATGTTGTTTGTAAAATGTTAACAGTGTGGTGGATTAATATTAAAGGGAATTGTTTTTAATGTTTGAAATAAGTTTATAAATAAGTTTCCTTATTAAAATAAGAAATCCTTTCGAAAAGGTGAAGAAGTAACGTAAGGTATTTAGACCTATATCAGTAATAATATCTTATCGGTATTATGGATTATGGATAACAGTTGGCAGAACTAACATTTTTAACGATAACAAGGATTTAGCAGCATTGGATCCGAAACTTTATTCAGATTTTATCCTTCACACATCAGGTTTTCCAGATATCCACCTTTATTTATAAAATTTGTTATACCTATCATCTGAAAGTCCAATCTGTCGAGTTTAAAATAATGATTTTAAATCTGTTATATTTTGTTTCTTATTCGAGATATGTATCTTAACCTAAAGTTAAGTAATTCGTAAATTTACAAAATCTGAATTTTTACTTCATTTTCTACTAAATTTAGTAGAAATAGGTAATATTTCGATTACGTCCACCAATTTTTTTCAAATTGTATTATGTTTACAACCTTTAACCCTGCTGTAACTTTTAAATAAAGAAACATAGAGGACTAAAAAAATACAAAATTTCGTTAATACCAACTTCTTCATCTGCATATATGTATATATATATATATATATATATATATATATATATATATATATAGAAAGATAAATCGATAGATAGATAGATAGATAGATAGATGGATAGATAGATAGATAGATAGATAGATAAATAGATAGATAGATAGATAGATAGATAGATAGATAGATATAGATAGATAGATAGATAGATAGATAGATAGATAGATAGATAGATAGATAGATAGATAGTTAGATTAAAATATGGAAAATTTTAAAATTGCTGTTATTTAATATTAATTCAATAAAATTTCAAATATTTTTTTTCAAATGCATAAATAATATAAGTGATTCTATATATAACATAATGTATCATGGTGTAAACCACAGTTTTTATCATGAAATTTATAAATAAATTGCTTGTACTTTAATTATGTGTCTTTTTAAGATTTTCTTTATGTCTTTTTGTCTTTTAAGATTAGTTTTAATTAAAACATTGACAAGTAACAACATGAAATTAATTAATATTATTTTCCAAATATTTCCAATCATTGTTATTGCATGTGGTAAGAATAATCCTTCGAAATAAAAAAGCGAGTAAAAAACAGCAGGGACCAAATGTTGAAAATTCATTATACGATTTAAATAAAATCGGAATTTCAATATAAAAAATATTTCATAAACAATATACATGAAATCTGTACTTATCATTTAACTTATAGCCGTATCTCCTTACTTTAAGAATATTTACATATAAAAATTAATCTCGAAATGTAAATAACTACATATATCTTGTATCTCTTTCAGCAAATAAATCATTCAAACATTGTTTTGATGTTTTAGATAACTATAATGAGAATCAAATCAAAAATATTTATAATTTTACTCTTGAAAAAGTGGCAAATACTTCCCCAGCTAATAAGATATTTGAATGTTACCTAAAGGAAACCCGACAAAAAGAAGTTAAAACAATTGATGAAAACTACTTCGATATCTTATTAAAATGCAATGAATACAAAAAACAACAATTATCTAATTTGGAATTGCACCATATTGAGGAGCTTAAAAAAATGGGTTTACCTTTGTATTTGGAACAACATGTACGAAGTCGCATAAATGCTGGAGGAGGAATGGGACATGAACAAGTGAGGGAAATTTTGAAATACATTGAAAATGATTTGACTGAAAAGATTGAACTGAGTGATCAATATACACAATATAGAAGTTTTGTACATGCCAAATTGACATCATTTGGAAAATCTGGCAAAAAATCAACTGCTACACATGCTTCAATCGTATTTACCGTTTTAATAGCTTTTTTAATTAAACAATTTTAAAACTTTATTTATTAAATTGGGTATAACAAAGAAATACTCTTTGAACTCGCCTGCAGAAAGAGAATAATATAATGTACATGTCAGGATGCACTTATTACATCATGGTACATGTATTTGAGCATTTAAAATTTTCACCAGACATACAGAGTTTTATAAAAATTCATATAATTTTATTTGTTTGAATTTTCAATACAAAAAAATGTAATTTTGCTTCTAAATTAAATTCTACCACAACAAAAAATAAATGTCAATAATAAATAAAAAATAAAATTTTCAGTTTGCTCAAAATAAACGGAATTTTAAAGAAAAAATTTCGTAAAAGTATTTTAAAAAATTTTACTTTTTCTGCGGTCGGATGAGATTTTGCGTAGAACCCGCTATTAATTCGAAAACTATTAACTAACCTCTTTTTTAGAGGACAATCATCTAAGTTGATTTTTAACATTTTTTTTCTCAGATCTCAGCTTTTTCGTTAATTTTAGGTTGATAGCGAAAACTAATTACATATGTTTTCTTTTAAAATAAAATCGAAAATTTATAATTTTATCGTTTACAAATTTGTAAATAAAATCTCAGAAAAATTTTAAAATATTATATTTTGGGGTCTGGGTGTGTTATAATAAGGGAAAGCTACTGACTGGTACTACATGGTGAATCCAGTGTGATCCTTATCAATGATACTCCAAGTCGACTCACAAAACTTCACGTGGTGGTCCCTGGGCGATGTTATTGACACCCGTTAAGCATTGTCGAATTGTGAGAGGCGACTGCAGCGTCTGTTCTCCTAGCTGGAGCGGCTGGCGTTCTTATATTAAGCGGTTCGCTATATAAACTGTTATCTACTTAGTCAGTCTGTACATAGGCTGAAGGAAACTGTAATTGCCGCTTCATATTCCGAAGCCTTGGGAAATGCTGCTAGTACTTGTCAAGAGGGTGAGCTAATGGAATGGAATATGGTGAAGTCACTGTTTATGGAACTCTAATTCTCGGAGGAATCATCAACGCAAGGAGTGGATCTGTGATAAAACCTGGCAGGCAATCGAACAAAGGAAGAATATAAATTTGAACTTAATAGAGCTCGTAGTGCAAAATTACATGTGGGTTATCCATATGTGAGTCGCACATGGATAACCCACATATCGTCTCTACATGTCCCACCATAGTTGAGATCGCGGATTCAATTGGCAGTCTTAAGAGGAACAAATCTCCAGTATTGACGGAATTTCTGCTGAGCTTTTGAAGTCCGAACCATATACGAGCGCCGGGATAATACTGCCAATCATTCGGTCATTCTGGGAGAACGAGAATTTGGACAATGAGCTGACAGAGGGTCAATAGATGACATTTCATCATTATGTCATCTATTCTCATTTCCAAATTTGATCGCTTTATATTAACCATAAATAATAGTTTCCTTAACATTGTCACAACTAAGAACTGCCCCTCCCTTGTATACTAGCGTCTGTTCCTCTCGTTGGCGCGGTTAGTATACAACACCACTTTCTACATCTTTATAAGGATGTAGAGTATGCGTCCGTTGCCCCTCACTGGGCACTTGTCTGTCGTAATAAAGAGTGTCAGTCCACAATCTTCTAAAATCCAACAACGTATGTCCTCATACTGATTATTCTTTTATGCCTGGCTGCATAAAATGTCTGAAAATAAAGCATGCCCTGCGTGTCTGGTAAAAGGATTAATAATCTCCGTAGACCCTACTACTACAGCGTCGATTAGATGTTGTAGTATAATGCCCCCTAAAACGCCAGATTCAGCTAAATGACCGACTAATCCGGGAGGCAGTCGAAACCCAAGCTCGATACAGAGTAGATATCTTAAAGGAACTTAAGGTCCTAAGGGGATACTATCCTGTAGAAGTTCTTTCTTGTACTGTTAATGCAGTACGGATTATAGACATATCATGTAAGGAAATAGCCAAATATTACCTTAATTGGTTGATCTTTTTTTTGAAATCGGTCCAGTACACAAACAGTTAACAATAAACCCAATATATTTTGAAATTAATGGATATTTTTGGAAAAAAACGACGCATATTTTTGAATATTCAGTTCATAGAACTCGTATTTTTAGTTATATCAGTATTGTAGTAAATGAGCGATATGTAAAAACTGAAGAGATATTACTGTAAAGTAATAAATATATTATTAACCTTTCCATGCCCACACCAGAAACTGTAAAACATACCGCGTACAATTTGTGGGATTTAGGGATAACGGTTATTTATTAAAACCATTTAAAATAACCACAACTGTTACTGTTAATATTGAGTCTCACACACGGTATGCGGGTATAGAAAGGTTAAAGGCAGTTTCAAATGTTATCAGGGAATTAATATGTATGTATGTTTGTATATAAATTTGTTGCTGATATTTTAATTTCGCGACTCTAATACTCAGTTTCATTAACATCTTTGACAAGTAAAAACATGGAGAGAAGGGCCGATCAAATTAAAATTATTATTTTATTATTTTCCATTTTTGTGACGACATCTGGTAAAAGAATACATTTTTAAAACCGACATTAAAATAAAAATTTAATTATTTACAATTTCTTCTTCTTTCTTTTAGCAAACAATTTCGATCATTGTTTTGATATTTTAGACAAATACTCTAAGAATCAAATCAAAAATATCTATAGTTTTGATGTTGAAAAAGTGGCAAACACTTCCCCAGCTAATGAAATATTTGAATGTTATCTAAAGGAAACACGAGAAAGTAGCGTTAAAACAAATGCTGAAAAATATTTCGATGTATTTAGAAAATGTAATGAATACAAAAAACAACAATTGCTATATATAGAATTACACCACATTGAGGAGCTTACTAAAATGGGTTTACCTTTATATTTGGAACAACGAGCTGTACGTCGCATTGAAGGTGGAGAAGGAAATGCAAGTGAAATTTTAAAATTAATTCAGAATGATTTGTGTACTAAGATTGAGATGAGTGATCAATATACGGAATACAGGAGTTTGGTACGTGTCAAACTGGAAACGGTTGAGAAATCTGGCAAAAATTCAATTGCCATACATTCTTCAATCGTATTTATTGTTTTAATACATTATTTATTTAATGTATTTTAAAATTTTTGAATTAACAATTAAAATATGCAACTACAGTGTACAACTCAGAAATGTTCAGTTAAGCCCCATTGTCCCTGGCAATGAGTCATTTTATAAAGGCGATATTTTCCTACTTAAAGTAATATTTGATTAAGATCAAAAATTGTGATTATCTCTACCTCGTATATAAAAATTATATGTTTATTGATGGTTAAAATAGGTTTTCCCATAAATATTGAAAATTGATCGTTATATTGATATAATGGCGGATTGACTTAAACAAATTTGATTTATAGCTTTTAGTATTCAAATAATTTATACTGTAAAATTAGATTTAAGAAATAAAATTAAATTTTTACTCTTGAAAAGGCCGAATTTTATTGCTGTGTTTGTTCATAATAAGTATATAATATACATATATAAAGCCAAAAACTACAATTTTCGACTCACATGGATATGTGTTTATTCCCAGTTTTAGTTCTTTTAGCGTAGTTTTAAAATATATCCATATATCGGAATTTCCAAAAGGATATAGTTTAATCTTTAGGACCTAAATCGGATATATAGTGCAAGTCAATCGTAAATCTTTTCATATAAAAATATGTAGATTAGATTTTTATTCTGTAAATATGTATTCATTTATTTGCCGGTTTATCGGCCCAATACACTTTATCGATAACTTTGAAACCCAATTTTTCGAACATAGAACGAGAAGGTACATTTTCAAATACCACTGGAGCTGTTACTTCAATATCTTTTTCAGCTAATAATTTGGACATATAACGTACAGCCAAGTTGCCAAAACCTTTGCGTTTATGTGTATCCATAACCTGCAACAGACCAAGAGCACCCAAGGGAAGTCTATAATAAATAAGTATATAAATAATATATTAAAACGATTTTTAATTAGTAATTTTTATTTATTTACATTAAACACCAGGCCACCAAATTGTTATCTTCGAATAGACCAACTGAGTCGTTTAGTCGTATTAGTAACTTGACAAACTCAATGGAACCAGGACCTCGGTGCGGCCATATGCTGTTTATTTGTTCAGCATGGCATAATTCTAGGGCCTTAAATTGTATATTACTGGGAGGACTGCAAATGAAAGTTAAATAAAATTAGTTCAAAATGTAAAAACATATAAAGTATTGCAGAGTGATTTTAATATATAATAAACATATTAGTGTTATTAGATTAGAGTTAGTTACGATTAAGTGATTTTCGGAAGGAGAATTTATATGGAACTTATGTCCAATGTGATCCGATCCGGAAACAACAAATTTGTGTTAAATTTTGTCTTGATATGGTTGATTATTGATTAATTATGTTTAATTGATTTTTGGAAGTGTACCTTATATGGGGGCTATAGTCAGTTCTATTAGATTTATATATGCAACCTTTTGTGGTAGTATCGATGTTCTAGAGAGAGAGAGTTATAAACAATCAGGCCTATTCTGAATGAAGGAGAACAAATTCCCGGGAAATACTTGTTTATAATTGGCCTTAACAAATCAATTTTCTGGGAGTTATGGACAAAGGAAAATACTTGTGACGAAATTTTTTGAAATAGCTGCTATAGTTCCAAAAAACCAATTAAGAACTAGCATTTTAATGGGTTACTTCGAAATGTTGCTCGTATATCCGTTATTTATGGACGGATTACATTTTGGATAAACCAAAACCGCTCTAAAGCTTAGAATTAGAATTAGTTCCGAGAATGATAAATTCGAACGGGAATCATTGATTAAAGAACTGGTTTCTGAACCGTTCCAGTGACTACATCATAATGCTTCCTCAGAACCGGTTCAGAAGAAGACAATTAATTAAAAATCATTGGTCTCAGCGCTAAAAGAGAACGAGCACAGACTGTAATCTAGAACTAGTTGGGTAACTGGTATAATTTTTAGTAGATGTTCCAAAAAAACTTATAAAATTACTTATTTCTGAAAAATTCTTTAAACAAATGAATTTCTTAAAAAATAACACGAATTGGTAGCACTGTTTTCACGCAACATTTAAGAGATACATTCAAGGCACACATTCAAGAGATACATATAAACTTAAAATTTTAAAGATACAAAATATTTCTCTTTTCCTACACACACACACACAGATTCGCTACAATGACAATTTGTTCTTTCTATTCATTAATAATAAATTTTGATTACTTTTGTTCATAACACTTACTCGATTGTAAATTGTTTAGCCTGATCTTTCGATATATGATACCAACAAGTACCACAAGGTTTACAGTCTGCCTTATCTAAACCAGAGTCAATAAAATGTTGTTCTACAGTTGGCACCAAATAATCTTGATATCCAGCTAAGAGGTAAGATTCCGATGAATCCAAACAATTTAAAGCAGTTAACAAACGTTCATTATTATCTCCACATGTATTAAAAAATACTTGATATAAAAACTGCAAAAATTTATAAGTACAATTAATGAGTGAGTACGCATTATTTGATATCTGATAGATTAACTGAATTTGTAAATATTTTTACCTTGGCAACAAATGTACCATCTGCCTCCCAATCGCCGTTAAGCGAGTAAATGTTTAGCTCCAATTCTGGTTCTTTATTTTTCCAGTTGATTAGAGTTTGTATTAAATTATAACAAGAAGCTCGATCTTTACGCTTTACATATAAATCGCGCAAGTTTGTCCATTTGTTGACGGGTATTTCTATTAATTTGTTTTTCATATCGGCGGCACCAAAACTTAATGTCTATTGCGAACAAAGACTCTAGTCACACTGACACTATCCGGCTCTGGTTTATAATTATATTTTATTCTGTTTATGAGGGTTGGCCGCGTGTAAACTATAAAAACAACAGACTTTTTACTCACTATTTGGAAGAATATCTCTTATTTTTAGTATTTAAGTTTCAAAGAGAAGTTTTTTTAATAATTTTTTATTTAAACATATTTTAGAAGTTTATATTGTACAATTCACTCATGGCCAGACTTGATGACGATAATACATCATATTCTTATCTTCGCCTTTGTTACATTTTACTACAAAGAACAATAGTTTATTTATACCCTACATTACTATAGAGGGTAGGGCACCACAGTCCAATGGATACCTCAATTATAAATGATTGAAATCAGGCCCAGATTTCTTGTAGTATGCAAGCAATCCTGATTATATAAATGTTAAGTATATTTGACCTTTTTCCGCATATGTATATGGTTCCCTTCAGAAAATAACTTTGACATTCATTATGTACTCGAAGCGAGCAAGCAATCTCAGACAGGTGAAGAACATAGCTTACCATAAAATTACGGCTCGGAGCCTTTTGTAATTTCTTCTGAGGCAAGGAGAGTCCGATCCCCCAATGAGTGGAATACTAAAGTAAAGTCAAGAAGAAAATGAGCTCCCCCTTTTTCAAAATACTGTCAAAGCTAAGCCAGAAAACCATAGTCCCGAAATATTTCATAAGACCAATTCTAACCTACGCCTCTTTGGACAAAAAGTGGCTTTAAGCCATCCATGGCATGGTGATCTGCATTGAAATCGAAATGTATTATAACACTAGCTTGCAGATGGAAGCCCTATTACCGATAGAAGGCGTTATCAGATGAGAAGGTAAAGTTTTAGACAGTGTTAGAGTGTAAAAAAGGCGTGAAAAACTTTTCTTTCGCTAGAAAGCTTTGTATTAGCTCCGGTATTATTGGTGATGAGAGAGAGAGGGAACGGCAACAAGGGAAAAGGGCACGAACGAACGAAGTAACGAACGAACGAAACTAACGAACGAACGAACGAACGAACTAACGAACGAACGAACGACGAAACGAACGAACGAACGAACGAACGAACGAACGAATAACGAACGAACGAAACAACGAACGAAAACGAACGAACGAACGAACGAACGGAACGAAACGAACGAACGAACGAACGAACTAACGAACGAACGAACAACGAACGAACGAACGAACGACGAACGAACGACGAACGAACGAACGAACGAACGAACGAACGAAACGAACGAACGAACGAACAAACGAAACGAACGAACGAACGAACGAACGAACGAACGAACGAACGACGAACGAACGACGAACGAACGAACGAAACGAACGAACAACGAACGAACGAACGAACGAACGAACGAAACGAACGAACGAACGAACGAAACGAACTAACAACGAACGAACGAACGAAACGAACTAACGAACTAACGAACGAACGAACGACGAACGAACTAAACAACTAACTGAACTAACGAACGAACGAACGAACGAAACGAACGAACGAACGAACGAACGAACGAACTAACGAACGAACGAACAAACGAACGAAACGAACGAACGAACGAACGAACGAACTAACGAACGAACGAACGACGAACGAACGAACGGACGAACGAACGAACGAACGAACGAACGAACGAACGAAACGAACGAAAACGAGCGAGAGGAACGACGAACGAAAACGAACGAAACGAACAACGAACGAACGAAACGAAGAACGAACGAACAACGAACGAACGAACGAACGAACGAACGAACGAAGAACGAACGAACGAACGAACGAACGAACGAAACGAACGAACGAACGAACGAACGAACGAACGAAACGAACGAACGAACGAACGAACGAACGAACGAACGAACGAAACGAACGAACGAACGAACGAAAACGAACGAACGAACAACGAACGAACGAACGAACGAACGAACGAACGAAACGAACGAACGAACGAACGAACGAACGAACGAACGAAACGAACGAACGAACGAACGAACGAACGAACGAACGAACGAACGAACGAACGAACGAACGAACGAACGAAGAACGAACGAACGAACAACGAACGAACGAACGAACGAACAAAGAACGAACGAACGAACGAACGAACGAACGAACGAACGAACGAACGAACGAACGAACGAACGAACGAAACGAACTAACGAACGAACGAAAGAACGAACGAACGAAACGAACGAACGAAAACGAACGAACGAACGAACGAACGACGAACGAATAACGAACGAACTAACGAACGAACGAACGAACGAAAGAACTAACTAACGACTAACAAGAACGAACTAACGAACTAACGAACGAACGAACTAACAACGAACTAACTAACTAACAACTAACTAACTAACTAACTAACTAACTACTAACTAACTAACTAACTAACTAACTAAACTAACTAACTAACTAACTAACTAACTAACTAACGAAACTAACGAACTAACTAACTAACTAACTAACTAACTAACTACTAACTAACTAACTACTAACTAACTAACTAATAACTAACTAACTAATTAACTAATAACTAACATTAAAAGGTCTGCCCTCGTTAACCATAGAGCAATAATAGATAATTGTGTAGTGTATGGTATCATTAGGTCGGGCAATCCCTCTTTTAGTGAAATCGTTGTATATGACTACAAAAACGTGTTACAAAAAGTTCACTTTGCGTATACTCTTAAATTTCAGTTTTGTTGTGCTAAGTAACAGTGTTGCCGCAGTGAGAAAATATTATAACTTTTATGCAAATTAAAAAAAAAAAAAATAAATAAAAAATATGTACCACTTTATATTTCAAGTCGCTCGATTTCCATTACATATCGTATTAGCTATACATATTTTGAACATCATAAACATAATTTTTCCTATTGGAAAAACTCAATTAGAGTCAATACTAATCTTTAATGATTGAAAAGTAAATAAGAAATCTTCGTAGCTATAAATCTATTTATTTGTTTAAAAACTAAAAAAAACTAAAATATGTGCCCTATCTTAAAAATGCCGATATTTCTTAATTGTGCGTTGGCAACACCGAATGAGATTCTTAAGTTAAATAAAAAATACTATAAAGTGCAATTAGTCATTAAATTTAAACTGAACAAGTACGTTTGAAAATCGGATGCGTGAAAGTTGCGAATATTTTTTTGCTTATTAATTGAAATAAATTTTTTGAAATACATTTTAAAAATGATAGATCTTTTTGAGTTAAAAAATCTCAGTGAATTAGAAAATTTAAGAGACTTATACCGCCGTGATTGGCCAAACTATTGTGTGGGTTATTATTGTTTGGATAATTTTTTAAAATGGAAAAAGAAAGATGCACAATTAAAAAATCTCAGAATCTTTACGTCAACTAAAGAAGAAGGTCTTTACGTGATTATAGATCGTTATCAGTTGTTCTTGGGTTCTTTGAATAAAGACAATTGTGATAATTTAACGGAGGCTTTAAAGAGCTTAGATTGGTCGAAAGGCTTTAAAGTGAGTTCATTTTTAGAATGTCACAGACCGGCAGTATTGAATACAGTGGAAAGTAAAAAACTTCATTTAGAATATGATAGTTTGACCATAATGTATTATCTGCCAAATGCAGAGGCTAAAATGTTGGATGTAAGGTAAAATTTCTTTATTAAAAATTTTGATTATAAAAAGTGCTTTATTTGCAACCATTTTTTTACTTAAATTAAAAAATAAACTTTTTATTGTATCCTATCCGTTTCCAGTTGCCCGAAAGGTTTTATTATAAAACCTCTTACTTCTTCTAAAGATGCTGAGCTGATTAATTCCTTGTGGCCCAATCGTCATGAAGGTTCTTTATTTTTAATTAAACGTTTAATTGATTGGAATATAAATATGGGTATTTATGTTGAAGCTACAAATGAACTGGTTGCCTGGTGTTTGAGGTAATCACTTTTTTAAATTAAAATTAATTAAATTAAAACTAATAATTACATTTTTCTTCTAGACTGCAAGGAGGTTTCCTGGGAGCTTTACAAGTTAAAGAAGAATACAAACGTTTAGGCTTGGGAGCCGCAGTAACACGTGCCACTTCCCGACGCATAGCCGAAGATGGAGATGATGTTATGGCTTTGGTTAATAAGGATAATATACCATCGCGTCGTACTTTCGAAAAGTTAAATTTCAAAGTAACCGAACAGTGTTATTGGCTGAAGACATTTCCCTCTTTAGAAAATTATAATTGGCCTGAAGATGAATGAGTTCGATATTTATAAGAATTTTCAAATCTTAAAAGATAAAACTGCCGGGAAAAATACTTATTTAGTGTTGGTATTATGATAGCCTATGTCTGGTGATGTATATTATATATCGTTAATAAAATTCGTATATATTTTTAACTTTTTTAAAGAAAATAAAATGAAAATTCTGTAAAAAGTTTACATAAATTATTGTTACTTCTCTAGAAAAATGATTTTTTTTTAATTGCCCACTGTAGGGGTATTTAATGCGTGATAGTAAAAAAACTTTGTATATATTTGAGAAGCTTATAGGAATATACAAATTTTTTTTTCACGCTTATGTATTAGGTTCTCTTTGCGGATCATATAAATATTGTATATAGTCCTGAATAAACTGTTTACTAAAAAAGAAAAATATATGAACATTTTTCGAAGAAAACATCAAAAATTCGGTTATTTTTTTCATGATCAAACTTTGGATGTATGTAATTTTTTAAACAAATGAGTCGGGCGAGGCCGACCATATAATACCCTGTTACATAAATAAAATGTGATTTAGTTGTCATAAATAAAGAATTTAAGTTGAATTGTACCTTGCCTCAGATATACTTAAGCCATTTATTGTTGATTAAAATTGCGGACATTTAAGGGTCAAATGAGACCCTATAATTATAAAATTTATGAGGGTCATCAAGGCTAGTATTGAACTTGGTTTTGCAGCTTTTTGTCGAGATACGAGTATATTAAACATAATTATGAACTTTAAAGCCCTATTCGGCGGGTGCAGTTGTATGGGGACTAGGTGAAATAATGAACCGATTTTAACGATTTTCAATAGGCTTCGTCTCCGGTACCATAGATAATCATGTGCCAAATTTCAATGAATTATCTGCAAAATTGCGACCTGTAGTTTGATTACAAGGTTTACAAACAATATTCGGGGGTTCAGTTGTATGGGGGCTGGGTGAAATAATGGACCGATGTTGAATTATCTTTCTAATATGTCTATTATTTTCGATGTGAAATCGATTTTTTGTAATATTAGACAACTAAAAATTTAATTTGAATTTAGATGAGATACATATTAACCTCAACTCTCTGAATTTGGATTTTTAAAATCCCTTGATTTGTTTAAAAGTTATCAAAGAAAATAGTTAAATGTCATTAAATATTTATATCAATTTTTCTTGAAACTACTTTTTTCGATTATGCCAATCCTGTAGGGCGATATATTCTGACTCCTTATAGATGGAGTAGTCGGGGGTTTAATGCAGTAACTCAGGATTGAAAAAATTAATTTGATGTTCTGAAAAGTAAACCGCAAAAAGTAACCGCAAAAGTAAACCTTATTTAAAATAATTATATTAAATTTTATGAAATTTTGGGGGCACATAAAATAAATTTTTAAAATGTTATAAATTCATAAAATATTTTTATATAATATATATATATATATATATATATATATATATATTTCAGTTTTTTATGTTATTTTTGTATTTCTTTAAAAAAAAAAACTTGGGAAAAAGTAGTGTGGGGAAAAATGTAGGGAAAATAAGAAGTAGGTGTAGGGAAAAAAGGGATTTTTTCTCATAAGCGTAGGGATTTCTGAAAAAAAACTCCTGGCATCACTGGTTAAAAGCATCAGCACAAACCCAATATACCCTCCCCATTAAGTGGTGTGGGGTACAAAAATAACTAAACCCAAATATATCATGATCTAAAAGAGATATTCTACATATGAACTTTGAGGGGCTACCCATTGCCCCCCCTTCCGCCTACAAACCCGACAAAAACACCCAGCTCCAAACATTTTTTTTGTTATTTCCAACAGTCCCCGAGATACCATACTACATAGTACATACATACATACATATGTATGTAAGTATATTGGCTGCCACCTCCATTACCATCACTACACAGCATAAGCACTAATTTTTGCAGTTACATTCTCTTTTCGTACATAAGATAATTATGAAATAAATTTAAAAATTAAATCTACTGGTAAAAAGTCGAGTGGCAAATAAACAAGTTTTAGTAATTATTGAAGCGTTTAACTGTTAACATCTAAATTTGCTCAATTCCATTAAAAAAAAATTAAAAATGACGATATTACAAATTTTAAATGATGTTAATGATCTTAAATATTTACGCGATTTATATCGCAAACATATACCAAAAACTGCACACGGTTATTATACGTTAACGAATTTTATAAAATGGTTTGAATTAAATCCCAGCATTGATCATGTCAAAGTTTATGTGCTGGACAATTAAAGGGGAAAGTGGTTTCTTTATTGTATTGGTGAGTGTTATTTGGGGTGTTAAAAACAATTTTGTTTAATTTTTCATATTGTTTATAGGATAGTTATCAATTGTTTATTAACACTTTACAATACAATGTTGACGAGGTGTCTATGGCTTTAAAATCGTGGGACTGGAGTCGTAAATATAAAATTTTTGCTCTGCCAGCTATTTTATTTCCTGTTGTTGAAAAAACATTGAAAGAGCTGAATATGAATATTAGAATGACTACTCTTAAGATATATCAAAGAGATCAAAGTTTTATGGCTACTAAAGAGATTGAGTAAGTATTTCTCTTTATATATTTATTAAAGTAGGTAAATTATTTACTTTATAAGTGAGAAAATATAGTCGATTAAGATCGACTTTATGATACCCTTTACTGATTTGAATAAATTTTGAAAACATAACCTCTCTCAAAGCAATGGCCAATTTATATCCGATCGTCAAAAATGTCGCTTTAATTTTATTTATAGAAAGTAAATCACTTACTTTCTGTAAATCAGAATAATTTACTAAGTCCGTATGTGTGTCTGCTATAAAATTTATAACACAGGTCGAAATTTAGAAAACAAATTGATAAAATTCATGATTTGTTTTTTGGTTCAAAGACGGGTTCAAAGACGGGACTTTGACGCTGAATATTGCTCGAAAGCCTATAAATGTGTTAATTAATTACAGAATCTAGACTTCATATTTGAGAATCATATGGTCGGGTATCTCCGATATAATTCAGATATTTGCTAATTGTGTATTACTATAGTTTGATATTATATTAAAACAATTATTTGCAGTATTCCAAAAACATTAGAGCTTCGACCCTTATCTGTCACAGATGCTAACCTGATTAATGATACGTGGTACTCACGACAAAATGGTTCTCTTGAATTCTTACAATCTCTGATAAAATACAACATCAATTTGGGTCTATATAGAAAAGATACAGATGAGTTGGTGGCTTGGTGTACCAGGTATAATAGAACTTATTGATACTAAACTCTGATAGAATTATAATATATTAAATTTAAATATTCAGATGTCAATGTGGTTTTCTGGGCACTCTTCACGTGAAGGACGACTACCGCGGACAAGGTTTAGCCACCGTATTAATTGAAACATTTTCACAAAAAATCATTGAATGTGGAGAAGATGTACGCACATTAATAAACAGGGCAACCAAAAATATGCTCTAAAAAAAGTGTTTTATGCGCATAAAAAATGCACTTAAAAACTAAAAATATGCTTTAAAAATATACAAAATATGCACTTAAAACTTCTAATTTTCAAAATGAAATCCCCGTTTTTTACCATATTTGAGACCTCATAAAAAAGCGGGCAGACACCTTCATCTGAATGTCCAATCTGTCGACTTAAAAATAAAGGTTTAAAGCTTGGAACAACCATAAAATTACAAAAACTCAATTTTGCCTTTATTCTATGCCAAACGTATTTGTCTCAATTTGTTCAACCTTTATCTTAAAGTCGACAGATTGGACTTTCGGACCACACAACGGATTTTATAAATGAAGGTGTCTTCTCGCATTTATAAGGTCTTAAATATGGCCAAAAACATGAAGAATTGGATTCAAATTAAGCGATGCTCAATAATTCAGAAAAGTAAACTTAGGTCTCTGGGTTTCGACTTTTTTAAAATTTTGTTGGCCTGTGTAATTTTCTAGGAAATGATATATAAGCTTAATTGTTTTGCTTTACATTAAATTGATTTATTTTTGTATATTTGAAAAACAATGAGGGGCGATCATTACGAAAATTGGCAGTTTCGTATAAGTTTAAATACGAAACTAAGTTGTGCCGATTTTTGTAGAGATCCTGAAACATTTAACATAATTATGAGCTCGAGGGCCCTATTTGGGGGAAAGTGATTCTGAGCCGATTTTTGGGTGTTACAAACACCAGCTAGAATGCTAGAATTAAAAACATTTTATTTAAACTTTTATTTTCTAAATAAAATTTTCTAAAAAAAATCTAATAAAAAAATTAAAAACATTTTCTATTTATTAATTTATCCAAAAAAAAGAATTTGAATCTTTATTTAAAAATTTTAAAAAATATGAAAAAATTAGATGAAAAGAACGAATATGCAATAAAAATATGCGATTATGAGTAAAATATGCGGAAATATGCTGTAAAATGCTAAATATGCAAAAATATGCTGTAAAGAACAAAATATGCAAAAATATGCTCTAACAAACCGATGCCAAAATTCATTAAATTTTCTGAAATGGATAAATAGCTAACTCAAGTCTCCACACGACGCGCAGCAAAAAATATGATATTGCATATTTTTGGTTGCCCTGTTAATAAATGATAATAACTTGGCGTCGCAAAAACTTTTCGGAAAATTAGGTTTCAAATATCAGGAGGATGTATTTATTATGTATAATTAGTCATGATTTAGAAATAAATTGTTGTTAGAAAATTATAATAAATAATATTTTTAAAAACGTAACCTCTGTTCGAGATCCTCAATGAAATTGTGAAAGTAAATTAGAAACAGCCGAGCGGCTCTTACTTTAAGTGAATTGGCCAAAGCTGGTTACAGGACACGTCATCAATGTATACTGGGCATAAGTATTAGATAGATATATTACTACAGATATCCGATCGCATACTGGAAACTAACTAACAGTACGTTCTATGACGGAATGTGCTGAATTAAGTATGGCGCCAACAGGTAGGTAATTGTTTAATTATCGTCCGACCTTTTTATAATTCGGTAGAGAAATTTTGGTTCTCTTTGAATATATTTATGTAAAACTCCATCACTAGGAACGTTGAAGTCATTTTCTGAAATGGGCCTTACATTGTGGTATGATTTTCTCAGAAATTTGCGGTATAAATTGTGGGTACAGAAAACTATCATTTTAAGATTGTTTAATTTCTATTACCTGACCAATATTGTCTAATTTCAATATCAAACAAAACTTATTCAATAGTAACGCTCTCCCATATTCCCTTAACCTCACATAATTCGATTTAAATACGGGGATTATTTGCATGGGGTTAATCTGACCGATATTGTGTAATTTCAATATCAAATAATACTTTTTCAATAGTAACGCTCTCCCGTATTCCCTTTACCTCACACAAATCGAGTTAAATTCATAATAAGTAAAATATTTAAAACTAAAAGATGAGCATTTAATTTATCTTTATTCAATTAATAATTTTACATTTTCTATTATCATTATTACGTTTTTTTTTTAACATTATTTCTAAATAAGTTTTCACCTTCCCCGCTGATGTATACTTACTGTAGCTGTGTAAATAAATGAATAAAAATAAATAAAATTAATATGAAATATATTTTTACTTTACCTCAAATATCGTTGCCCGTTCATTAAAAATGATGTCCTGTAAAATTTTAAGAAAGCTATATGCTTCAACGATAAATCGCCTTTTATTTGTATGCAATACATTTGCGCACGATGGGCCAGAATTTTTATTTTATTTTTTTCTGGTCAAAAGTATATTACAAAACCCTTGGACTTAGCCGTCTTATGTATTTGGTTTACACTTCGTTAAGGAATATTTTTCCATGACTTTAATGAACTGAATATATTAATTAAACAGTTGGAATCTAATTACGAAATCATATCGCTGATTGCGTAGCTTAATTCAATATTTTCCATTAAATGAAAAATATTTTAAAAAATATCAACAAAAACCGCTTTTCAATTACAAACATTTGAAAATATAATTACTGGACTCGCCATCTTGCATATCTAAATTTCAGATTTGTATGTTTTTGACTTTCTTGTCACAATAACTTAGACCAAATGGCCCATCGTGCGATGTCAGCATTACAAGTATTCGTTTTAAGGATATGAAAACTTTTTTTGACAATTGAAATTCATTTATTTGCCGGTTTATCGACCCAATACACTTTATCGATAACTTTGAAACCCAGTTTATCAAACATGGAACAAGATGGCACATTATCAAAAACCACTGTAGCTGCCACTTCAATATCATTGTCAGCCAAAAATTTTGACAAATAACGAACTGCCAAATTACCGAGACCTCTGCGTTTGTGAGTGTCCAAAATACGCAGCAGACCAAGAGAACCTAATGGGCGTCTGAAATAAATAAATAATGAGATATTAAATTAAAAATCACATGTTTAATAATATATTTTATTAATAATTTACATTAAACACCATCCCACTAAGTTGTCATCTTCGAATATGCCAACAGATTCATTATGACGTATTAGGGTGGTAATCATTTCAACTGAATATGGTAATCTATGGGACCACATGTTGTTTATTTGTTCTACATGACATTCTTCTAGGGGCTTAAGTACTATATTGTTGGGAGGACTGCAAAGAAATTATTTAGTAAAAATAAATTAAAAATATTTGTTTTATAAAAAAGTAAAAATATATATTTTGCGTATCTTCTATCAATATAAAAATGAATGTGTTTTTGTTTGTATGTTTATATGTTTGAACGTTATACACTACTAAACGGCTATACCGATTTTCTTCAATTGCTAGCATTAGGGGGCGTGGCACCTTCCATATAAATTAAATACAAAATTTCGTTTATCTTGGAAACTATTACAGTTAGAATAGCACGAATAACTTTAACACCCATTTAAACATTTTGGGTAATAAATTGGCGGACTACCCACATTAATTAAATACAAAAATTCGTTTATCTGGGAAACTAATGGAACTAAATTCTTCAAATTTTGCACGAAGAACTTAAATACTCATCTGAACATTTTGGAGGAAAAAAAAGCGGACTTTCATCTGGTCATGAAGCCCCCATATGAATTAAATAGAAAAATTCGTATATCTGAGAAACTATTAGAGCTAGAATCTTCAAATTTTACTTGAAGAATTTTGACATTCATCTGAACATTTAGATTATAACGGTCGGACTTTCAATGGGGAACTTGGCACCTCCCATATGAATTAAATATACAATTTCGTTTATCTGGGAAACTAATAGAACTTGATTCTTACAATTTTGCACAAATAACTTTAATATTCATCTCAATATTTTGGAGGAAAAAGTGCGGACTTTCATCTGGGGAGCATGATGCCCCCACATGAATCAAATAGAAAAATTCGTATATCTGAGAAACTATTAGAGCTAGAATCTTCAAATTTTACACGAAGAATTTTGACATTCCTGTAAACATTTAGAGAATAACGGGCGCACTTTCAATGGGTGGCTTGGCGCCACATAAATTAATTAAATAAAAAATGTCGTGTATCTTGGAAACTATTATATTATTCGAATTTCTCATAGACTGGCGAACTTGCAATAATTTGCTTGACATCTCTCATATGTATCATATCTCATATGTATAATATTGCTTTTATGGTAGCAAAGCACACTGGGTATAGCCAGTAGGTAATAAAAAAGTATAAGGTTGTAATAATAAATTAGGTTATACCTTTACTCATCTGCAGGTTCACAGGAAGGGGAGGAAAAGGGGGAAAGGAAGGGGAAGCGAAGGGGGAGGAAGGAGAAGAAGAACGAACGAACCGAACGAACGAAACGAACGAACGAACGAACGAAACGAAAGAACTAACGAAACGAACGAACGAACGAACGAAAACGAACGAACGAACGAACGAACAACGAACGAACAACGAACGAACGAACGAACGAACGAAACAACGAACGAACGACGAACGAACGAACGAACTAACGAACGAAACGAACGAACGAACGAACGAACGAACGAACGAACAAGAACGAACGAACGAACGAAACGAACGAACGAACGAACGAACGAACGAACGAACGAACGAACGAACGAACGAACGAACGAACGAACGAACGAACGAACGAACGAACGAAACGAACGAACGAAGAACGAAAACGAACGAACGAACGAAACGAACAACGAACGAACGAACGAACGAACGACGAACGAACGAACGAACGAACGAACGAACGAACGAACGAACGAACGAACGAACGAACGAACGAACGAACGCACGAAGAACGAACGAACGAACGAACGACGAACGAACGCAACGAACGAACGAACTAACGAACTAACGAACGAACGAACGAACGAACGAACGACCGAACTAACGAACTAACTAACGAACGAAACGAAACGAAACGAAACGCACTAACTAACGTAACGAACGAACTGAACGAACGAACGAAGAACTAACCGAACGAACGAACGAACTAACGAACGAAACGAACGCAACGAACGAACTAAACTAACTAACGAACGAACTAACTAACTAACTAACTAACTAACTAACTAACTAACTAATAACGAACTAACTAACTAACTAACCTAACTAACTAACCTAACGAACACCTAACTAACTAACTAAACTAACTAACTAACTAACTACCTAACTAACTCACTAACTCACTAACTAACTAACTAACTAACTAACGAACCAACTAACTAACTGTTCTAACTGGACTGTTTCGTAATATAATTTAAGAAGGTGCAGCAAGTCCCATTGACCCCTATTGCTTAAAGCGTGTCCAAAATTTAAATATTGCAATGGAATTCTTTTTTTATTAGTTTGGAAAGCTTACTAAGTACAAACTACGATTCTGCCATAAAACTATAATGGAACCAGTCGTTTCGAAAAGGACCTAAGTTTCTCAATATAAAGTTTCCACTAGAAACAAAAATACATATATGTACCTACTTGGTGTTAAAAAAATCTTTCCGCTAAAAAATGAAATATAGGAGTTGATAAATAATAATAGTAATTTTCGTAAACATACAGTTATTATTAGATACAGTTTTTGGACTTATGCCTTTTTCAAACAGAGTTTGTTATAACTTTTATAATTTAAAATAAATGAAAAGGCATCAAAACGGGAAATTCTAAAAGATGTGACCTCTGCTCTTATCAAAATGACTGTGTAAATAGCTTATTTTCCTTGTAAACACGTTTCTTACGTTGACCTCACTGGGACATAGCTTAGATTAAAGGTTATCGATTTTTTTAAAGGTGGCACAAACACTGTATAAGTAGATATGTCATTGCCGTCATTATCAACAATTTGGTCAAAATTCGAAATATTTTCATTAGCTTGGGGACCACCCTAATATACATAAACATTTGTTACTGTCAACTGCTATTTACCAGCGAATAACGACGTATTTAGACTTTATAATAAATTTTTATTTAAAAAAAAAAATAAATTTTAAAATCATCATAATTTTTAAAATCAAAATTTTCAATATTCAATTTAATGCGAAGAAATATTAAATAAAAGAGAAACAAACTTTGTTCTATTTCGTCAATGTATTATTTTTAAAACAAACCAAAATGGTTTTTTTCGATTTAACATAAATTTTCCTATTGTATGAGTGTTTGTCCTTGCACTTTGATGACTTTGAGTAATTTTTTGAATATACATATTACACATTTACCTAAAAAGTGCCATAACTCAAATAATATCGTTTTGATAAAATCATTAAATAACTTTAAAACGTTTAAGGGGACTTTACAACTGAAACCTGATGAAAATAGTAGAGAATTTAAGTTTTCTCATCTGGACTTAAATAAAATTGTTAATTATTAATTATATGTGAAAACATGAGTTTTGATGTTTCACAAAATCACTCTCACACTGTAGACATTTTTGCGCATATTTTTTAGTGCTCAGTTCAAAAACCCCGAATTTTGAGTTATACTAGTCTTGTAGCAAATGTGCTATATGTATGTATATGACACCTACAATAGTATTTATGTGTGTGATATATATTTAGCTAAACTGGAATACGACTAAACAAAACATTGATTACAATAACAAAATTTCGCTATATTTTCTTGCCAATTTCTTTTTTGTTAATTTATGTTTATTATTACTCACTCGATTTGAAATTGTTTAGCCTGCTCTTTGGGTATATGATACCAAAAGGTACTGGTAGGATTATAGTCTGCCTCATCAAAACCACAGTCTTTTAAATATTGCTTTACTACAGGTACCAGGAAGTCTTGATATCCCGATAAGACATAATATTCCGAGGGATCCAGACATTTTAAAGCTTTTAATACTTGTTGTACATTATCAGAGCATGTATTGAAAAATATTTGATTTAGAAACTGCAAAAGTAATAAAAAATAAGTACAACAAAAACAACAATACGATATTGATTAGATCATTTAATGTATATATACATATATAGATATGTATAGAGTATAATATATGTACCTTAGCAATAAATGTACCATCTGCTTCCCAATCGCCATTAAGTGAATATATAGTCAATTCCAATTCTGGTTCCTTGTTCTTCCAGCTGATAAAAGATTGTAACAGATTGTAACAAGCAGCACGATCTTTACGTTTTGTATACAAATCACGTAATACTGGCCATTTATTTGCAGGTATTTCCACTAATTTATTCAACATCTCTACGTCACACGATTTAAGGTCTAGTACGAACAAAGATTCTTGTCAGACTGACACTTTCGATTTTTTTTTGTTTAATAATAGATTTTTTATGGAGGGTGAAAGGCACGTGAGAAACATATAGCGCTGAAAGTCTTGTCCACGTTTGTTTACTCACATCATAGTACCATTAGTTCTCTTTTTGAAAAACGTTTCCAATAGTACGTACAAGAAGAAAAAGCTTTTTGTTTTCAAAATATTAAACATTTGATTATATTAGATACTGAATTTTGTGTATAAGGGTGTAAATAAACTTGGCAAAATTTTTGTTTGGGATTTCGGTACAATTTTCCAAAAAGAAAAGCTTGTTTGTGTGTATATTTTTCTTCGTCATATGCTTTTATTTATAAGAAGATGATTTTAGGGCATTTTTTGTTGGGGAAGAAAAAGCACAGCTATTTACCATTATGAGCCTAAATTTTCCATACAAATTGATTTTTTTGTTTGTTTGTATTTTCTTAATTTCATCCCTCTAACTCATTCCGTCAAGACTATATCGTGCTTTTTAACAAAACAGACTGACGCATAAGACATGCGTTATTGATTGGGGATTTGGAAACAAGTGAAAGTTAGAAAATTTAAATTTCGAAAAAATCATTAATTGATACATAAGTATTGGCATAGAGTTTGTTTGTGTTTTTATGATTTGTTACAATTGGTAGGAAATGTTATTGTATTGTGTTCGTTTATTATTAAAAACACGCAACGAGGAAGCAAAAATAAAAACAAGTATAAACGTCTTGTCAGGCAAGGTCGACCATATGATACTCTTATACCAGGCAAAATTATTACATTTTAGGTTTTAATGTACTAAACTAATTTTCCGCTAACTATAATCAATAGAATATAGTATATAGACTAGACTATGGACTAGACTATAGACTAGACTATAGACTAGACTATAGACTAGACTATAGACTAGACTATAGACTAGACTATAGACTAGACTATAGATAGGACTATAGACTAGACTATAGACTAGACTATAGACTAGACTATAGACTATAGACTAGACTATAGACTAGACTATAGACTAGACTATAGACTAGACTATAGACTAGACTATAGACTAGACTATAGACTAGACTATAGACTAGACTATAGACTAGACTATAGACTAGACTATAGACTAGACTATAGACTAGACTATAGACTAGACTATAGACTAGACTATAGACTAGACTATAGACTAGATAGACTAGACTATAGACTAGACTATAGACTAGACTATAGACTAGACTATAGACTAGACTATAGACTAGACTATAGACTAGACTATAGACTAGACTATAGACTAGACTATAGACTAGACTATAGACTAGACTATAGACTAGACTATAGACTAGACTATAGACTAGACTATAGACTAGACTATAGACTAGACTATAGACTAGACTATAGACTAGACTATAGACTAGACTATAGACTAGACTATAGACTAGACTATAGACTAGACTATAGACTAGACTATAGACTAGACTATAGACTAGACTATAGACTAGACTATAGACTAGACTATAGACTAGACTATAGACTAGACTATAGACTAGACTATAGACTAGACTATAGACTAGACTATAGACTAGACTATAGACTAGACTATAGACTAGACTATAGACTAGACTATAGACTAGACTATAGACTAGACTATAGACTAGACTATAGACTAGACTATAGACTAGACTATAGACTAGACTATAGACTAGACTATAGACTAGACTATAGACTAGACTATAGACTAGACTATAGACTAGACTATAGACTAGACTATAGACTAGACTATAGACTAGACTATAGACTAGACTATAGACTAGACTATAGACTAGACTATAGACTAGACTATAGACTAGACTATAGACTAGACTATAGACTAGACTATAGACTAGACTAGAGACTAGACTATAGACTAGACTATAGACTAGACTATAGACTAGACTATAGACTAGACTATAGACTAGACTATAGACTAGACTATAGACTAGACTATAGACTAGACTATAGACTAGACTATAGACTAGACTGTAGACTAGACTATAGACTAGACTATAGACTAGACTATAGACTAGACTAGACTATAGACTAGACTATAGACTAGACTAGACTAGACTATAGACTAGACTATAGACTAGACTATAGACTAGACTATAGACTAGACTATAGACTAGACTATAGACTAGACTATAGACTAGACTATAGACTAGACTATAGACTAGACTATAGACTAGACTATAGACTAGACTATAGACTAGACTATAGACTAGACTATAGATTAGACTATAGACTAGACTATAGACTAGACTAGACTACATTATTTTATAGGTCTATACAACCAATATTTCAAAGTGTGATAAATGTAATAACAAAGTCAAAAAACTGAATCGGTCCTCCAAGATTTAATACCAAAGTGTTGACAATAGACCACTTAATAAAATAACCCATTAGTCTCGATTATAAAAAATACTATAGAAAACACTATAGCATGGCTATTGTCGATAGTAACAACTATATTATAGGAAAAACTATAGTTTGACTTATTTCGTATTGTTAGAAATAATTTCAATAACAATTTTAATTACTCTGATAGTTTCTATAAAGATCGGTTCATTATATACATATGTACATGTTAGCCCTTTCGAAACAAGTATATATAATCATATGGACCGTCATAGACCCTTACAACTTCCAGTCATAGGTGGAGTCCTTGTCCCCAAACATGTAAAATTTTATGACATTTAGACAAGCCGATTAGAAAAAAATTATTATTTAAAAAAAATAACAATTTTGCCCCACTGTGCATATCACATAAGCATATTCATGTTTTATGTAATTTAAATAATTACAAACATTTTACTACTGGAAACATCAAAAAGGAAGGGTTAACCTTTAATGTCAATTGCAATAACTTAATTATATTCACACAACGTACCTTGTTCACAGGACGCCATTGTTGCCCAAAATACTTTTCCAATTTTAATAACACGCCACACAACTATTGTTAAAAAGGCGGTAATTGATATTGATTGCTATTGATTAATTATATACATATAAACGTACATATTTACTAACATTTAAACACAGCCAAAATCTGTAATTTGTTTAATTAAATTAATTCACTTTAGAAAATTACCAATATTAAAACTAACTGTTTATACATACACTTGTACTTTTGATGGGGTGGTTGTAACGCACCCACTTGGTTAAAGTTATAATTTTATTGTGAAGAACTCACATAAACGAATTTTTCTTGCGATGTTTCTTAAACGTGGCTTTATCTAGAATGCTTTTTAGGAAATGAATGAAAGAAAATGTTGAACATAAAATGAAATGACATTGCAAATGAATGAATGAATGAATGAATGAATGTTGCGTAGTATTATGTCATGTATTTTGTGTAAACTAGTGTATTTTGTAAATACTTTATAATCAATATTTTTACTGACAATACATCTCTACAGTTGTGAAACCGTTTGAAATATACAGTTACAATTCAAATTTAAAACAAAGAAGGTTTTGAAAAAGTTTTAAACTAATGTGAATACATACATACTTACTAACATAAATAAACACTTACATAGGTATGTATGTATATATGTATGTCCTGTACGGTATTGCCAGATAATATTTCTGTACCCACCACCAAAAAGATTGGGTTATATTGATTTTATCATTTCGTTTGTAGCTCATTTAAAAAATATAAATTCCCATTGCGGAGTCTATGTGGCAAGCAAATACTTCTAGCATTGTCAATATTCCTAAACTAAAAATTGAAAACTTAAATTTGATGGACAATTTAAAATATTCCCCACAACTTCCTGGTGGTGGTTATAAAAAAGGAAATAACTTTATTAATAAAGTATAAAATAATAAACACAACTTTTCTTAAACAGTTGGTAACGCATGGGTTACTAGTGTTTTGCAAACAGCGCCATCTATATCTCATTTTCGAATCCAAACATACGGTTTGTGAATTAGCTAATATGCACACATTCAGCCATGCCACATTATTTAAATTTAAATTAACCGCCATGATTGTCTTGTTCAAAATTTTCCGGGAATTTTTAGTTTAAAGGTTTTTTTTTTAATTTTATTTTTATTAGGGATAGAAAAAGGGGAAAACTGTTAAAACAGATTTTCTTAATTATCTTACACAATATTATTATTACAAGAAAAATTTTAAATGCACTTGTATCTATGTACTCTTAAAATGAGCAGATGGGTGTCTGACTGGTACTTTTTTGAAATTCGTACTTTTAAGGGGTGAAAATGTGTAACATAGGTGATTTTAGTAACTTTTTTATTCCACTTCTGGTACTTTTTCTTTCTTCAAATGATACTCTCCAAAACATATGATTACTAAACATAGACAGACGGTCCTTATTAAAAAAGATACTTTAGGATCAGTGTTGCCACAACAAAATTTTTTTCTAACCAAAATTCGAATAAAAAATAACCAAATTAAGAAAAAAGTAAACAAAATTATTTTTATTTGTTTCATATTTACATTTGGACATTAAAATAACAAATTCATTTTCTGAAGTGGAACTTGTAACTATGTTAAATTTCGTCGCTAAACTGGTATAATGAAGACAGTTATGAGTGTTAAAGTAATTTCCTGTAGGGGATCTTATATGAGACGTATGGTCAATTATGGACCAATTCTCATAAAATCTGACAGAGATATTTTAGTTCCTTTAAAACTTGATTATGTTGAATTTTGTTGCTATATTGCAGTACATTATGAGCTTTAAAGTCATTTTCTGAGGAGAATTTTCCAATAAATTCCAATAAAACTTTTTTATATTGAATTTCATCGCTATACATGCATTTTAAAGCAATATAGTAATTTTTTGAATAGGGCATAATATGGGGGCTAGGTGAAATCGTTGACCGATATTTCGCATTTTCAATACCAAGCAAACTGGGTTAACTAAAAATATTTTGGCAAAATATTTCAGTTTTCTATCTTGTTTTTTTTCGTCTCTATCGTGTTTTTAACAATAAATATGTATATGTCTCTTCGCGGATTCGTTAACAAATGTAATTAATATTTATTTTAAAAAATAACTGAGTTTTTAACGCGTTTTAGCGCTATTCAAAAATACTCCACATTTGACTTTTTGGAAAACAATTTTAAATTAAAAAATTCTTCCCATTTTATGTACAGATTTTTAGATTTCGTTCGAAATTTGGGTTTAAGGGGTATATTTGACCAAATTAAAATACCATGTAGCGGATGTTAGCATTACATTCATAACTTCAGCAATATTTGTAAACGTAATCTATCCACATTATCCGACAAATTGACAAAAATTTAGAATTTAAGGCGGTAAAATAAAAACAAGTAAAAAATGTAAATAAAGAACTAAAAGTCATGGTGAGATATTTAGTAGAAGTCAAAGGTCATGAGTAACAAATCCTTGCATATATCGCGATTATTATTCGTCGTATGAGTTGAGATGTTATTACAAGTTTTGTAGATAATACAATTTCATTTTCCTTAGCTGTGTTATTTAAAAATATCAGTTGATTAATACTTTAAAGATATTGTGATACTATTCTTGCATCAATTAGCAGAAAATTCTTTATTAAATCATTTATTTTAGAATTTAATTAGCACAGTATCTGTTTATGCAAAATTTTAAATAGGTATAGAAGTTGCAATTATACTTTAAATTTTTAATTTAATTTGGAGGACATAATCTACTAAGTACGTAGACTATTCCCACCAAATTCCATAAAAATCGAAATGCGAAATACAGCCTACTTCGTTTTTTCATATAAGTACCGCGAGTTCTTTACATAAAAAGTTCCAATAGAATTATTAACGGAAGGACGGACGAGTTTGAATCAAAAATTGATTCATTCCATTATTCACGGTATTAGATTGGCTAGTGTAAATAAAATAATATTACGGTGTTGTTATGATTTAAATCAACTCATTTAATATGTGGAAAACGCATAGGTACTTTTGCTAAATCCTAAACCAATTAAGATATCGAAAAATACCTTTGTGCACATCATTATAACCAGTAGATGTACAAATTACAGTAATAAAAAAATTTCGAATAGTAAAAAAAAAAATCCACATATGTATTACCAAAATTCAAAACAGGGACGATATGTATATTTTCATAGTTGGTTTAAAACTAGAGATAAAATAAGTTTTTTTTTTTAATTTTATTTTTAGAATAAAAGCAAACAGCATTTAGTTCAATTGTTTGCAAAAAATAACCAAAACGAAAAAATAATTCACATGTACACATGCAAAATAAAAATAACCAATTTTGGTTAATAATAACCAAAGTGGCAACACTGTTTAGGATAGAACTTTTTAGAACATTTTATACCCACCACCAAAAAAGATGGGGAGTATAGTCTGGGCTATAGTCTGGGCTATAGACAATACTATAGTCTGGACTATAGACAATACTATAGTCTGGACTATAGATAATACTATAGCCTGGACTATAGACAATACTATAGTCTGGACTAGACAATACTATAGTCTGGACTATAGACAATACTATAGTCTGGACTATAGACAATACTATAGTCTGGACTATAGACAATACTATAGTCTGGGTTATACAATACTATAGTTTGAACTATAGACAATGCTATAGTCTGAACTATTTACTATAGTCTAGTTGTTATTGTTTACATGTTAAGAATGTTATTTGTTTACATTTCTTATGTCATTTTTGACATTAGTGTGATTCTAGTACAAAAACAAAATACATGTTGTTTTTGTATTGTTGTAGCGATGCAGTCACCTTTCTAAGTGTACCCTGGTCTGGACTATAGACAATACTACAGTCTGGACTATAGACAATACTACAGTCTGGACTATAGACAATACTATAGTCTGGACTATGGACAAGACAAGACTATAGTTTGGACCGTATCTTAGGTGTGCTATAAACATGACTATAGTCTAAACTTTAGTCTGGTCTAGAGACAAGGCTATGGTCTGGAATATTGACAAGATTATAGTCTAGATTTTAGAGAATACCATAGTTGAGATTATAGTCTGGATCATAGTCTAGCCTATAGTCTTGACTATTTAAACGACGTATAATCTCGCAGCTATAGAAACGACTATTAATCTCAGCTTAATATTTATTAAATGACTGGAACCACAGGAATTAAACGAGTTTTAATTGATTAATGTTGACATAAAATTTATACTTGAAGCACTCTAGAGTTGTATGGATGAAGAGGTAAAACAAAAGATTTATTTATTATTTTATATGCGTTTGATGCGTTTAGCTGAAACAATGAATTCAAGTGTTTGATTTTTTGCTTTGATTTTCAAAGGGTTGTTTTAATATTCATTATTTTTTCTCTTTACGTTTTGCTTTTTGTAATAAAACGCACTTTTTACATTTTCCTTTAAAATAATCGTTTATTACAAAAGCTTTATATTTACAATTTTTGGATTATGTATTGGGTATTTTTATAATGTGAACGCAATTATGTTAATTAAGTGAAACTTGTTTAGAAAAGAGATTTAGTATAAAAAGTACATAAATTATATGAAGTTAAGTACTCTATTAAATTATGATTTCAAGCCCCCATTGGGAACCTTTTCCGAAAATACTATAATGCTTATAAATCTCATGTTTGATTCATCCAAAGTAGTTGGTTGTCTTATTTGTTCGAATCTATTCGCTGTTTTACTCTGAGTCAGTTGCGGTTCTTATTTGTATACTTATAGTACTAAAGTATTTTATTTTATTTTAGCTTCACATTGTTAAACTATATTTTGTTTTAATAATTGCTCTGTTATCTGAGTACTTTCTGATAGACAAGAGCACATCTAAATAATTTAAAACGTAAATTCATTCCAAAAGAAAAGAAAATGAAAAGCTTTATCTTGATTTTAATACTTTCACTAGTTATGAGGGGTTTTTCAGGTAAAACACATATTTTATAAAAGTGATAATGTCAACCTATAAAAATTTAAACCAATTGGGTCTTGGGTTTCAATTAATCGGATATGTAAGCACACATTTTAAAAATGTTCGACTTATTATTTAATTTCAGCCAATGATCCACAGCATTGCTTTGATGTTTTGGAAATTACACAAAAATCCGAAATAAAAAAGTTCTCTGAAATGTCTTTCATAGAAACCGCAAACACAGTTTTGACCGCCGATATATTCAGTTGTTTCTTAGAAGAATCGCGTAACAGTAAAGGCGAAAAAAGTGAAACTGAAAAACACTACGACATTTACAAAAAATGTAATGAATTTGAACAGAATAATAATCAACCGATTGGTAGTCGGCAATTTAATGAATTAACTAAATTGGGTTTGTCGCAGGCTCTGGACAATTATATAAAAAATAGAATCAAATCAAAAGAAATGAAGAATAGGGAAGGCATCTTATATATCGCAGAAGAAATGGAGAAAAGCATTGAAAAAAGTTTGGAATTTAAAAATTACAAAAAGTTCATTTTACAACAACTTGAAGGTCCCAAAATAAAACATATTAGTAATGATGAAAGGAGTGGAGAAAGTAATCGAAATTCTGGCCAGAAATCGTATTATATGGATATTTCCTATATTTTGCTCTTCCAATATATATGTTTATTATCTATTTTAATGTTTTTGTAGAATTTGGAGTCTAATAATATGTATATTGTATTATATGTAATAAATAATTAATAATAAATTTATGTCTTAATAAAATCATAACATGGGTATAAGGGACCTGATAGAGGACTTAAGATTATCAAACAATGTATGTATTTTTGACTAATTTCATTCCTATATTAATGTTTTTAGTTCAAAATTTAACCTTAGATGAGTCTAAGATAAAATTTGGAGCAGTCGCGGATCCACGGGGGATACATCTGATTACGCACCTGTTGTGAAGCGATTTTCACCTAACTTTACAGTAACTGTGCACGTAAAATTGTTCTATGGTAAATTTTATTACAATTTCTGCATATTTAACTTATACTTGGGTATTCCGACAGGATATTTGTATGGGAGTTATAGGGTTAGGTAGATAGGAGAATGCATCTATATTAAATCCAAAGAAATACACCTTGGCTACTATCGGGTCTATTGTGCGCTTATTTTCATGGAAAATCTTTGTTGGTAAAAACATAAACCTTATAGTTATAGTATTCAATGAATGTATTATTGTCCGATTTTCAGAAACTCAGTTTCCTCGAATTTTCCTATCAGTGTTCGGGTGGGATGTTATATCTCGAATAATATCATTACCAAGATATTTGGATCTAATTTCAGCGAAAAAGACAAAGAAAGTGCTCTCTATATGCTCTACCTTGGTCGAAATTTTGGTCTTCCTAGGAGAGGAGGATGAAAACCAAAACCATACTATATTTGCCACCCGTTTTGCTCTCGATACAACCATAAATGATGTTGATTACCATATTAAGAGTAATCTGGGCATGGAATTGTATAATGATGTCCAAATCTTTAAGATAACTACCCGTAATAGAGTATAATTTAAGATCATTGTTCCTGAGAGCATTTTTGACCGATTTTTCCTTCAGAAGTAATAATCCTTAACGATGTACAAGATATTGTTAAAACTAAATTTAAAAATATATTTATCACTTGTTCGTACATTCCATCCGCGTCAAGTTTCCACATATACGAACTTCATTCCACAGCAATAAAGCTCGTTGCAAATCTATACAAGCCTGGTGATATGAGTCTGTCCACTCAGAATATGTACCATCATACTAACTTCAGACTTGCTCATTTTGAAGAGGCTTCTCTTACTGCTCTCGTTAGGGTCACCCTATAGCATCCATATAGTTCTACCCACCGTTTCATTATTCCAAAACGCCTTATGGGATTCTCTCATCCATATTTTTTATTAAGTTCACGTTGCTTCGAATGGTTTTGTGTTCGTTGGGTTAACTACCTCGAGCTTCCTTCCCTTTAAAGCCCTGTAAAACTTACCTCTAGAAGAGTATTCAGTTAAAGCTTTCTTACAATCCAATACGGTCTCAGATTTTACTTTATCAACGTAATTTCGTCCTAATTGTATTGATGTCTTCGATGTTAATGTATGCCCCAGTGTTTGCTATTGAATGATTCATTATATGAAGTAAAGGGCATCTTCTTTCCTTCTTGCGATTATTATGTATTATATATTTGAATCTATTTCGGTTTTTGATTCTGAGTCAATTGTGGTTGATATAAATAGTATAAAAGTACTATGCGATAGTTTAAATTATAATTTGATATGTTTCATTTTAATAATTGTTCAGTTAGTTATCTGTGTACTCTCTCAGTGATCACACCATCTATATCTAATAATTCTAATTTAATTAACAAAATGAAAAGTTTAATTTTGTTGTCAATACTTTCACGAACCCTTTCAATGGTATTAGGTAAAATATAATATTTAAGAAAAGTGATTTATTCTATGATAAATTCTAATAATTTTCAATTTTTTTTATACTTTTAGCCGATGATCCCCAATCTTGTTTTCATATTTTGGAAACTACCCCAAAATCAGAAATAAAAAAGTACTCTGAAATGTCATTCATAGAAACAACAAATACAGCTTTGACGGCCGATATGTTCAGTTGCTTCTTAGAGAAATCACGTTACAATGGCGGCGAAAAAAGTAACACTGAAAAGTCTTATGACATTTATAAAAAATGTATTGAATATGCAAAATTTACTAGTACACCCATCGCTATACAGCAATTAAATGAATTAATTAAATTGGGTTTGCAACCAGTTTACGCCAATTATCTACGTGATGGCATTAAAACATATGAAATTAAACATATTGAGGAAAGTCTTTCCTATATTGCAGACAAAATGGTGATAAGTATTGAAAAAAGTTCGGAGTTTAAAAATTATAAAAAGTTAATTTTACAAAAACTTGAGGTAGAGAAAAGAGTCAAAGTGGAGCATGTTGGTTATGTTCAAGACGCCAAAGGAATAAATAATGATGAACAGAATTTGGTAAAAGTTCTAGCATTTAGTAAAAATTCTGGCCAGAGTTTGCAATTTATAAAGATTTCCTATAATATCCTCTTCAAATATTTAGGTTTATTAATTTTATTAATGTTTTTGTAGAATTTTGATTCTAATAAAATGTTTACAATAATTAAACATCTTTAGACGCTCCTCATTTAACCCTAGTCGTTATATAAAGATCCCTTCAGATTTAAATTTAGCATTCAAAATTGGCTTTAAAATACTTACTAGTAGGGAGGAAATTCGATATGAATAAGTTTTTTCTGAGGATCGGTCCATAATTGTTTCTAGCTAGTAGAGCCCTGCATGAGTGACTTAAATAATAAATTAAAACATTTGATTTTTTTCAAACACTGTGTTTGACTCACTCATTGTTTTATGAATGAAATGAATAGTATATTTGAAAATAAGGAATGTTAGTCAATACTCAATTCAAACGAAACAAGTAATGAGAGTGTTTATGTGATTCAATTCAAGTAGTATACAGTGAGTGAATCGAGTGAAAGCAAAACAATTTTTAAGTTCGACAAATTAACAGATTTTTTGAATATTACTTCGAATTTTCGAACTTAATTTCGAATAGTCGAAGATAATATAGTAGCGTCATCAACTGTACTTAACACTGCCAAATTTCAGCCAATTTGGTCCACGGAAACTGGTTTTATCAGCTTTAAATTTTTTTCGAACATGAGTTCGAATTTTCGAAAATTTTTTTTTTAGTTTTTTGGACTCAAAGAATAATTTAAAAGCATAAAAAATTTTTCGAACATAACTTCGAATTTTCGAACTTAATTTCGAATATTCGAACATAATATTATCTTGTCATCAATTGTACTCAAGACTACCAAATTTCAGCGAATTCGGGCCACAGGAACTAGTTTTAACAGCATTCAAAATTTTCACCATTTATTCAAGAAAAAGTTTGAATCGATTCATTCGATTCAAACAATCTATTTTGTATTGTTTTAACATAAACAAATTGTTTACTCGCTCGATTTGAATGTAGTTGCACATTCACTTGATAGTACTCACAACGTTCGAGTATAACAAAACTTTGTAAATACTATTCTAAACAAACAATGAGTTGAGTGCAAAGCAATGAGTCACTCATTGTGTGTAGCAAATAGAGTTACTCATGCAGGGCTCTACTAGCTACCATATAATTCTTCTTAAAAAAATGTATTTTTAGAAATTTAAATTCTGGAGAGTTTGATTCAAGAGGTTCAAGAGCAATTTTTGGAAAATTAACCTGATGCTCATGATATTTCGAAATGGTCGGTCCAAAATCACCTATGTCTGTCAATATATTATGAATTTTTTAGTATTCGGCATAAAACTCTTTTATATGTAGAACAATTTTTAATAAATTTCAAAAAAATATATACATGGTTGTGGTTTTCATTATTAAGAGCTATTTTTTTAATTGATTTATTATAAATTTATTCACTGTTGAGGTTTTCATTATCAAGGTCCGTTTATAAATATCACAATAAAATTAATTTAAGTAAATTTATATTTAGTACATTAGTAAAGTGTTAAACAAATAAAAATTACTCTAAATCTCTTTTTTGAACAGCTTTATTATCGATTCCAATGGATTCTTATGCATACATTTCCCAAAAATAAAATAATAAAAATATTAACATGATTTAATGCATTAGACTGGAAATACCATCATCATCATCCCTTAAGGAGCATAACAATAAAAATACATTTTCGTAAATAAATTCTAAGCTAAACGAAAAACACCTAAAAAAGAGAACTAGACAAAATTTGAACGGTTAGAAGAATTAACCCTTTTTTCTATAACTTGGGCAAAGAAGGAAAAAAGTGCATTTTTTTAAACTGACATAAATAACTAGGACTCACACTTTTATTACATATTTGTGCTGTTCGGTTAAATACAGTCATGTGTACTCAAGATATGTACGGGAACGTAAAGTAACAATTTAGCAGCAAATGAATTTTTAGCTCAAAGCAATCATTTTACTGCATTAGGGAATACTCGTACCCAAAATAGTACCATGTTATAAAAAACGTATCATCGATATGATATATATGTACGGCACAAGACTGAGTGTCTAAAAGACAGGTCAGGATAAACTTTTACAGTATTTTTTCGTATATACAGTAACTAACATAACTAGACACACTTGAGATATAATAAATTTATGTATATTGAACCATATTTGAGAAATAATGAAGATTATTTCATTGTATTCCATTTGGAGGAATTCCAGTTGGAGGAATTCCAGTGTAGTAGTTGATGAAATTAAAAGGTCACTCTCAATTACCCGAAAACTTTAGCTTAGGTTGATAGGAGGATGTATACTACATCAATTCCGTAGTACAATAGGTCCCTATCGGGCGTAGTAAAAACAAAACCTTATATAGTTAGTATTCACTGAATGTATTATCGTCCGATGTTCAGAAACACAGTTTCTTGGACAATAGTAATTCCAAAGAATTTTCTAATCAGTGTTTGTGAGGATTTGGATCTAATTTTCAAGATATTTGAATCTATTTTCGATAAAAGCCTGACAATGGCAAAGAAAGTGATTTAGAGTTTCAATATCCTCTCTACATGCTCTACATTCGTCTGAATCCGCACGTCCAATTTTGTATAGCTGTGCCTTAATTCTGTGTGTCAACTTATAATACGTACCATCTTATTAACCTCAGACTTGCTCATTTTGAGGAGGCTTCTCGTTAGGGTTCCCCATAGGATCTTAATGGTTCTAAACACCGTTTCATTATTCCAATAGGCCTTATGCGATTCTCTTACTCATAATTATAACTCAGCCCTCGTTTTGCGTTCGTAAAGGGAGCAGAGCTTCCCTTTAAATGTAAACCCTACCTCTAGGAGAGTATAAACGAATACAATATGGCCATTTTATAAAGCGTAAAGTTAAATCTATTGACTTCTAACTGTCGCTAAATATGTAAAGCCCTGTTGATGCCATATTTATTCTAAATCAATTTACACATTTTCTTATTGCTTGGACTTCCGCCTGGAAGCTAGCTTTGTAATTTGCTAAGGTTATGTTTAACAGGTGGCTGCATCGGAATTACTGCCTTATTTAGGTCTAATAATGATCCCTTTGTAAAATAATTCTATAAGAAGAAGAGAAGAATAGGGATAGTAGAACGAGAGATAAAGGAAATTTGTAATTTACACCCATTTTGACATGTTCAGAAATGCAGTTAATCGTTCTAATTGAACATTTGACATATCTGATAAATCATTCAAATAAGTTTACCCTAAGGTTCGAAAACGGGCCGTTTCCAGAACTCGAAAATGTCAGAGAAGATGGACTACAACTTCTACAGAAGACATTATGCGCCTATCTTGGTTGCCAAATTTGGAGTGACCAGTTACGACCGATATCATTTTACCTTTCTGAGGTCTTTGAAGACTAAGAAGATAAGCGGTTCAATGTGGATCCGTGTTGGTTCACATCGTTCTATTGATCGAGCATGTATGTTCACTCGACCAACGAATTTGAGCTTTAGATTGACAAATTTCCATAATGTGCATTTTTATAACACTTTATGGAACATCACAGAACTGGGTCACGTCCAGTTCAATTAGCATGGTTCCAAATTTTGCAAAAATATCAGAAATATTATTGCCATATGTAGTCCTACGTCCTTTGAACCAAATAAGAGTAATTTTCGAATGTCTCGCGTTTCGTTCAGAGACGTCCGGCATTCATGGACAAGTTGTGATGTAGAGAAAACACCAATCAGGGACTTAATAGCAGCTTGACTGTCAGTATAATTCTATCCTAGAATCGTTATTGAGTCTAAATGAGATTTTAGTCCCAAATTCTTTATTGAAGATGCCTCCACCAACTTCATTCGTTGTCTTGGATCTGTCTGTATATACACGGAAGCAATTTGTAGACAGAAGGAGGGATTCTAGAGACTCCGAAGAGATGTGATATTGGAACTTAATCGGAAGAGACGTTCCGTGATGCAGTAACCGACGGCATGTAGGAGTTGCTGTATAAAATCAAAGATCTTCGCATACCGCTGGAACAAGTGTTCCATTTGCCAGTCAAACTTAATATGACAGCAGTGCACATTGCTATTTGTTTGCCTAGGATATCCACTGGAGACCAGTTAAGCATAGCAAACAACGCCTTTTTGGGAGTTCTTCTCATAGCACCTTTTCAAGATGATGTATGAGGCCTTTTCAATCGCGTGCCACAATACGGCTACCCCTTACAGCATTATTGGCTTGACGATAGTCTCAAATAGTCAATTAATACTTTTAGGGTTTATATCCCAGTGCGTGCCAATGGTCTCTCTGTACACATAACGAGCCGTTATGGCCTTTGGTGTTCTGGAGAATACATTCATACTCCAAAATAACTTTTTATCTACGATAAAGCACGCTATCCGAAAGGGTTAGTACCACGCCATTAAGCTATGGAAGAGGAAAGGTAGGGATCTTGTATTTTGAATAACACAAGTTCGTTTTTACGCTGAGACCACATTCAGCGCTCCATGAGCTAATGATCTCTAAGGCTTGTTCCAGTTTTTTATACATAGTTCCAAGGTGATTTAAAGTTACCGCAACACCATCAGCGTAGGCAATAGGGTGATCGATTATTCGACATTTTCCAAAAACCGGTTTTCGAATAGTTCGAATAGTTGAGATTTCAAAAAAACCGGTTGATATTTTTCAAATTCAGAAAAAACCGGTTAACCGGTTTTTCATAATAAATAAAAAAGTATATGTTAATTTGAAGAAATTAATGTTTATGTTTAAATTTGATTAATAAAACATGGCCCGAAATGATTTTTAACAGTTTAAAAGATTATAACTTTAGATCTATCTAGTCGTCTGATTTACATTATTTCTTTAATATAAAAAAAAAATTAGGAAAAAGGTGGACACTTCTTTTAAACATAAGGTACTATGTAATCCTAGCTTATTCTTAAGCCCTTTTAGGAAATTTTCATAGGCATTCCAACAATTCCATAATATTTCAGCCGTAAATTAATTATTGTAATTGGAATATAATCTTAAGATTAATAAAATTTTATTAAACAGTTATCAATTTTACAAATAAAATTTTTTAATTAATTAGGAAAATCAAAAAAGTTTAACCAATGGTGCTTTAGAAAAATATATCCTAGTTCTTGGACTCGAATATTTTTAAAATTTAAACGGGCTGTATTATTTACTTCAAAATTTCATTTAAATAATCTTTGAATACAAAGCAAATAAAAGTATTCGAAACCGGTTTTTAAAAAGTGAAAAAACCGGGTTATTCGATATTCGAAAAATCAACATTTAGAAAAAACCGACACTGGTAAAGCAGAAAAAACCGGTAATAAACCGGTTGAAAAATCGAGTCGATCACCCTAGTAGG